CTGTGTTTCCACGTGCATGTTGTCATTGACGGTGAGTGAGTCTGTGTTTCCACGTGCATGTTGTCATTGACGGTGAGTGAGTCTGTGTTTCCACGTGCATGTTGTCATTGACGGTGAGTGAGTCTGTGTGGCACAGTGGGCGTTTGTTTTGTTTTGTTTTTGTAACAACAGTACAGCCCTTGCAATACAACGAGGTGACAGCAGTTGTGTGACCCAGGTTTCCGACACAGTAGTTCCTGCTGGCTGTGTTGAAATAGACATTCCTTTTCCTACATTGATAGCATCTGCGTTGGTCGCCTCCACGATTTTTGCGTGAAAAACCCCACAAACACACCAAACAAAAGGAAGCAAAAAGAGCCCGCCGACGGGGAAGGAAAATTGCACAAAGCACGGGGTGTACCAAGGGAGAACAAACAAGCAAAAAGCAAAGCTCTGGACTTGTAGACAGAACGTGTGTTTTCTCTCCCGTGTCACGTGGTCTCTTTGTCACGTGTTGACACCTCGTGGATTGGTTCTGTTCATGTGAAGGCTAGAAGTAGATTCTAAGTACATTCCACACACTCGACTATTTCTAGTGCTGTTTCCCTTCTATTGTTCCCCTCTTTGTTGGGTTTTGATTTGTTGGTAGGTTCATTTTTTTCTTCTTATTGTTCTGATGTGTTGTCTCATTGTTGTTTGTTTATATAGCGTAATGGCGTTTAATTTGATGTTGTTCCTACATTTTAAAAAATATATATTAAATGTGTTGTTATGTTCGAGCGTGTCTCCACCAAAACCCAACACTGACACTGGCAGGCCCCTTGTGTGTGATTCCATAATTGACATGTCATGTCCTGTACTTTTTCTTGAATTACTCACGTTTAGGGCTTAAACGGCCAATCTTCAGACAGGTGGACACACGCACTTATGTGTTACTTTTTGTGTTTATTTATGTGCTGTTCTAATTTTGATTTACTTCTGTTGTGAAACCTTTATTGTTCACGTTTGTACACTCTGTGTAGCTATAAATGATCTTCTGGATGCTTAAAACAAAGCACAAGAAGTTCTGGAGCTTTAGATTGTTCCCTCTATCGACACGTTGCTATATTCTGTACGTCGTCACAGACAGTTGAACGTTTGACATTAATGGCAACTTTTATGGCAACTTTTGCCTTTTTTTGTGGCAAGTTTTGGACCCCAAAAATGGCAACGATCCAAGATGCTAGATTCTAGACATTGGCCAAACTTGGCGGTAAGCGGGGCTGGCGGTACAATGGGGTGGGACTGTGTCTGCCACCGTGAGGGTGTGTCAGTGGATGATACTTGTGTCTCAGTGGGTGATACTAGTGCCTCAGTGGGTGATACTAGTGTCTCAGTGGGTGATACTTGTGTCTTAGTGGGTGATACTTGTGTCTCAGTGGGTGATACTTGTGTCTCAGTGGGTGATACTAGTGTCTCAGTGGGTGATACTTGTGTCTTAGTGGGTGATACTTGTGTCTCAGTTGGTGATACTTGTGTCTCAGTGGGTGATACTTGTGTCTCAGTGGGTGATACTTGTGTCTCAGTGGGTGA